CCTTAAAGGTCATGGATTAAAACTAAATCCATCCAAATGTGTACTTGGTCAGCCCTCAGTTTCCTTTCTTAAATGTCTTATCACCCAGAATGGAGTCAAACCTTTACCGGAAAGAGTCAAAGCAATTAACGACCTACCTCAGCCAAAAAATCATCTCTGAACTGAAGCATTTCCTAGCAATGTTAAATTGCTACCGAACGCTTTCTGCCAAATGCTGCATAAACACAGGCCTGCCTGCATGAAGTTTCTGAAGAATAGCAAAAAAAAGCAAAAAAAAAACGATCAACGAGCTGTCCTTTGGACGGAATTCTGCATCTGCAGCATTCTTGCAATGCAAACACGATCTGGCAAATGCAGCCACACTTTCTTATCACTCACCTAGTGATCAGCTCTCTATAATGGTAAATGCATCTGACACGGCCATAGGAGCAGTGTTTCAATAATATATTGAACTCGCATTAGATATAGATCTACTCGCATAGATAATATATTGAACTCGCATTCTCTACATTGATTATATATTCTTTATGCAAATGAATATTTAGACAAATTAATGCATAAGACAATTAACATTACAGAACTAATTCTAGAATGGCTACTATGTGGAAGGCTATCAAATACTGCATTTTTAAAGTGACTAATAGAAGTATATTTCTATCGTAGTTATATGAGAAATGAATAATATAAGATTATAGTATAGTTAGTTATACGAGGATATCTGAAATGTTTCAATACTTGGGTTTTCAAAGCAGAAAAAGTTATAAAATAATGCACATCCAGAAATAAGTGTCAAAAGTAGCTAGTTATCTGATACATATGTAGATCATATGAGCAGGAATGTGATATATTAATACATGTATAACATCGGATCGAAAAGTAATTGCCCTGCGTTTTCGCAATAGATGCACATACTCGACTTTTAATCCGGAAGCACTTCCGCAGAGAACCCGGTAAATGTAAACATCGCCAACTTTGGCGATAATAGTTCAAACCTAGTAACCTAGCTAATCCATCCTATTCGCTTATGCGAAGGTTGTCGTTGTTCGCATTTGGAGATTTATACTATTTTTCTCTTATTTATTATTATTTTTCTGAATTTTTTAACAACGAATAGATAGAAATATTTTCGCATAATTAAGAAGTTTTCGTCGAAAGATGCCGGTTCTCTGGTCGTCAGTTTCGGGATCAAGGAAGAATATGGCGGAGGGGTGAATGCTAATTTGTAACATGGCTGTTCACGTTATGTTCTTAATTATTAACAGCTGTAAGCACGCGAACCATGAGGTTTCCAACCCCTATAATAATTTTTAAATGTATAAAGTTCTAGTTTTATTAAAAATGCTACTGAAGAAAATTTGATTACTGTTGAAGGTTATTTGTATGTGAAATATATTATGAAAAAGAGATCGGTATTTGTTTCAACGTAAAAATGCTTTAAGCTGTATGCAAGTAACTTGAAAAAAAAATACTTAAAACTATTTAAAATGGATATATTAAAGGTCATGCATTCATTAATTTATTACATGGGCATGGCTCTTACCGAAATACATCAATCAACAGGCAAAGTACTTAATAGTAAAAAAAGACATTTGTAATAGAAATATTAGTATTCTATATGAATTAGAGAAAATACATATAACAATACTAATTGTTATTTTTTAAATGAATTTTTACTTCCCGTTATGTTTAATACATTGTTTTCTGTGCTAACTTGAATTTAATAGAAATTTATTTTCGTATATCACGTTTAACCTGTTAGTTTTATATCTACATACTTATTATCTGTGAATTTTTACTACCATTGTCTGCTAACTTGAATTTACATCACTAAAAACCACGTTTACAAAATATCACGCTTACGGCTCGGCTCATCCTCGATGAGCCGCGAGCTTGGCGAGTAAAACTGCAATGGCGCCAAAAGGGTTCTTTCCCGAAGCGCCAACGGGTTCTCTGCGGATGAAAACCCTTTAATCCTAATTTAGCAACACAACAGAACAAAATTAGGCATTAGATGCCAAACAAATATAAACACATCTTAATCCCGTTTTTCCCCATGTATTTTCCTTTTCTCCTTATCACTTATTCCCCACATGATATTTACTTCCGTTTGGCATAATAAAATGTCGCCCATATCCTTAAAGGAGCCAAGTTGGCGCAACCAAGGCTGTTCTCCGAACCTTATTCCAGATTCCTCTCTATTTGTCAAAACCCCTCGAGAATGAGGGACCTCTCCATTTGTCAAAACCTCTCGAGAATTAGAGACCTCTCCATTTGTCAAGACCCCTTGAGGATGAGGGACTTCTCCATTTGTCAAGACCCCTCAAGGCTAAGGGAACCGAAACTCCTTTCCATTTGTGCCCTCGAGGATGAGGGACCTCTCAGTCTCTCAAGACAGGACCCTCCCTATATCTCTTGAGGATCAGAGAGAAACAATTCCTATTGAAAAACAATTTATCGACGATACTCAGAAAAGCCCCTCTGATGAGACTAGGCTTCCATTCAATAAACGACTCTGCGATAATATACCCACCCCCTCTCAACAGAATCCTACAAAATTTGTAGATAAATGCATTCAAATAAACCCCTTTATAGTAACCCTTTTGACTGGAGAACCCGTGCATTAACCTCGAAAAATGAGATCGCAGAATGTTTATATTACATTTTAGGAAAAAGGAGCGGGAGGTAAAAAGTTCTGAAAGCAAATGGGTATGTTTTGCTCAGAATTTAAAAAAATAAATAACCGAAAGACCATTCTTCAAAAATGCTGAAGTATCGTTGATCGAGTCGGCTGGGAAAAATTTCTTGAGAGCCGAGAAAAAAAAATTCTCTGGCTCCGATTATGGATAAGGTTCGGAGAACAAAAAACTTTTTGTTAATTTTTATGATGTCTTCAGACATCATAAAAATTAACTACCCACTCTTTTTGTCTGGGAATGATGTCTCACCCTTTCTAAAAATAGGTTTCTAAGAAAAGAATGAGTCATACATTTCTTGGAAACCTATTTTTAGAAACATTTTGAGACATGATTCGAACAAAAAGGTTCCTCTGCCAAACACCAATTAAAGTAGTTAGTAGAGTTAATTTTAACTTTACTAACTACTTTAATTAAGTTGATTTTAAAGTTCTAGGAGATGGCAATAGGTAAGAATAATTATGGCTGCCAAATTGTTATCTTTTGCTATCGGGCAACTCAAAAGCAAAGAATTTAGGACATATCTCTGCAGGTGAGGTTTACATATCGAAACAATTAAGGAAATTTATTGTACTAATTATTTGTGACCTAGTATTTTTAAATAAAAAATGCTGCCATTGTTTTATCGAATTGTCATTTGTCAAGGGCAAAGAAATGCTGAATTTATCTTGTTACTTATTTCTTTTTATGCAAGTGCTTTGCTTTCAACTATTTATTTTAGTCTTAAAAGTACGTATAAAAGATTTATTCATTTTTTAAGGATGCTGTAGATTATTCTCAGAGGTTAATAAATGGGGCGATATCTAGAGATTACGCGTGTGTATTTGATGCTAGAGTAAAAACTGTTGATGGATCGTGGAGATATTTAGTTTACCATCTGTTATTCCCCCGTGTATTTTCGTATTTTAGCTCTAGAAGTTTTTTTTTTTCCTTCATTATGTAGTTTTTATTTGTCTCTTGCGGGGCTGAATTCAAAATTACAAAATTTTCACATTTTGTGCTAATTATATAGTTTCAAAGAATGGAGAAAAATTATTAAATTTTCATAGTGAACATTAACAGTTTAGGTTGGAAAGGGAGATTAAATTCGACTATTTGCAGGATTTGTAAAAAGTTTAAAAAATATAAGATTTTTGTGTATTCAAATCAGATTCGGTTCAATTTTTATTTTTAAATCGGCGAGTTTACTTCCGCCAAACACCCGTTGGCGACAGTGTATTTTCTTGTCGCCAAGCTCGCCAATGGTCATGATTTTAGCGATATACGATAAATTTTAAAATAAAACATGATATAAAGCATATTTAAACCAAATTTAGCATTTTAAACATGATATTTATTGCACAACTTGTTACTAAGCTTATGTAAGTTAAACTTAGCTAAAAATTAAGTGATTAAACATATTAAGTATGTGCAAGTCAAGTGTAACTTTTTAAGCATGATAATGAATACAGGTTAATTCAGGTGAGCAGAAGAAGCACATACAAATAAAAATTAGACTGGTTAAGCATGATACTTAATACAATTAAATTCAAGTTTTGAGAAAAGTGTATGAATAATATTAAGCATATGAAAGTAAAAAAATTGGTGAATCTTCGGATTATGGTAACTTGGCGATTTTTTGGCAAAAATTTGGTGCCCAACCCTGCTACAGCAACCTGCTAGTTATTTTTTTTTTGGACGCCATTTTGTTTTCACGAAATAAAGGTTTTTTTTTTTTTTTTTTTTTTTCCTCAACATTTTTTCCAACAATCTGCTAGCAGAATTACGCTTATGCTAGAACTTTTATGGAACAAAAGTGCTTAATCATGATGAAGATTAGGTGTGAAATTGGGAAATTGTGAAATTGCACATACGCGGTATCCATGTACACGTTGACCTATTTTCACTTAAAAAAAATATCCCAGAATTGCACAAAAATGGCATTGTGCACTTGACTTTATCCATGTACACATTGACATATTTTCACTTAAAAAGACAAAGAGAATTGACAAAAATCCAATTCTTCTTACTCTTGTAAAAAGCGCAAAACAAATAAGTGGGCAATTCTGCACTTTAGCCCATGTATCTAGCAATTCTTCATTTCTTTTTACAGACTTTTGTGGCCCTGGCCTATTTTTTTCCAAAAACCTGCACCATTGAATAATTTGCTGGAGAATTTATAATTGTGTTTTAAATTTCTGTGAATGGATCTTGCCATTATGCTCAACTTCACTGCGAAATAAGTATTCGAGTATGTGATCAGTAGCTAGATATGCTTCATGTGGAAAATGAAGTTAATTTTACCTTCTGAGTAAAACTAAGTAAATTTTATGAAAGTTTGTAATTTTACTTTCAGAGGCCACCTGTTCAATTCTGTGGTATGTCCACCAATTTCTAGATTAACAAAACTTTTGAAATTATGAACAGCTTGATGTTCATAATACCATGCCTGCCTAAGAATGAATAGGTGTCATTCATCAGTCATAATAATTGTTCCCTTTGCCACGTGTTTCCTAATCAGCAGCATTAGAATTTCCCCTGATCTGTCGTTTGGTGTGAACATGTTTTCAAATGAAGGCAATCTGAGATGCACCACTGCACTCAAGCATCTGCCTTCAACATCTTCCTCAATTACATAAAAATATTTCTATCTATTCAGCATTACAAAATTCAAAAAAGATACGGGAGAAATCAGGCAAAATAATAGTAAATAACTAAAGAATAAATTCTATGTGCAGAGGTGAACAGCAAGCATAATGCTTCAACAAAAACAGCATAAGAGGAGTGTTTGCTACCTCTAAACAAGCAAATCTGTTGGGTTCCCAGGTTTGAACTCTTACTGCCATTGTTGACAGTGTTTTACATTTACCAGGTTCTTTGCGAACTTCCAAATCAGTGATTCATAAACCTTATCAGCAGTCAAAAGGATAAGGCTGCAGAACACTTGTGGTTTGATTTGGGTTATAATATCAGCTAATGAACTGAGTACATGGATGCTTTTTTGATTTTCCTCAAGTGTAATATGAATATAAACCAGTTTCCCTTAGAGAATTCGTCACAAGGGCATCCGCTCGTGCAGGCAGACAGTCATAATGTAAATAATCTATTCCATCGATGACCTTCCAGATCTGCTTTCATTTTGAATCCACTAAAGATTTTAAATCCCAGTTGAGTTGTCATGTTCAGAATTGTTATCCGCTTGACCAGTCATGAGCTTCTTGCAGAACAAGAAAAGCTAAATAATAAATTACGAGTATTAGACTGCCTTACAGGACTGCATTTATTTAATGAAGGGAAATTCCTAAACCAAGATTATTACTCTCAAATTTCATGGTACAGTAAAATTCCAGAAATCCGCAAAGCTTGAGACCAGAGGTTGTGCTGATTTTGGGATAGAAAAGGTAAAGCATAATATTCGGACTAAAAGTGCAAAATGAATAAGGCGTATTGGATACATTTAATTAAATTATTATATACATTATTGCAATAATTTATTATATGCATTAAATTATTGTTACATGTATAAATTTATTATATTATTCATTGTATTATATGTACACAGCATCAAGGTTTGCCGATTTCACCTCATGCAAAGATTTCCGGTGTTAGAATCACTGTTGCTGTAAAATTTCAACAGCTTTTCTTTATTTTTCTGTATATCATACACAATCGTGTCGCAATTCCATACCATTCGGCTATAAATGGAGGAGTAGCACCTGCTTCTGTCTTTTGCAAAATTTACACTTTTTGCGTTACCGTCAATGCAACGTGTTTACATTTTTCAATGTTGCAAGCAGTAAATCATGAGCACGTTTCTTATCTGTCATTGTATTAAAAAAGGCTGAAATTAAAAATATTCTTAATTTATCCACAAAATATCCGGATAAAAAAAAGGCAGCACTAAACAATCTCGTGAAACAAAATAACAAAGCTCCGAAAATACAACGTGAATCGGGAACTTGAATAAAGAGTTGAGTGAATCGTCTGCTTTTTTACCTCGTTGCAGATTAGAGGGGAAAAACTTATCTTATTTTTTTAACTTTTTTATATCAATAATTTGGTATTTCCTTTTTGACTCATTATTATTCGATAATTATGATGTCATTTATTTGGCAAGTATTTTTTTCTTCAATATTTCATACTCAATGTTTCGGTTTCGGGAACCTATAAACTGAATGTTTATATTCTGACAGGCAACGTGGATTTCAGGTCGGCGGATTTTCGGTATTTGACTGTACCAATCAGTTGTTTTGCATTGCTTTTAAAAGTATTCCAGTTTTTTTAACACTGTAGGATATTTTTTGGGGGGTAAACAAACTATATTTATAAATGAAGCTTTTTAATATGAAATATGACATACATTCATAGAGATATCGGTTGATCTTTACATTATGGTAACTTGGCGATTTTTTGGCGAAAATTTGGCAACCAACTCTCCTACAGCAACAAGACATGTTTCTTTTCTTTTTATCTATTGGACACTTCTTCCAACAATCTGCTAGCCGAATTACACTTATGCTAGAAATTTTATCAAACAAAACTGCTTAATCATGACAAATATTCACTGCAAAATTGGGAAAAAGTGCACAATACCATACTCCTTACGCGTTTTTCAAAATAACACATACACATAAACCATGTACACGTCGACTTATTTTTACTTAAAAAAACATCCCAGAATTGCACAAAAATGGCATTGCGCACACTCTTCACTATATATCCATGTACATGCTTTTTTCTCATAAATTAGAAAAATTTCACGAAAATACATGACAATTTTCTCAATTTTTAAACCCGGTAAAAGAAACATATATGAAATTACCTGATCGCGAAAAAGTATTTACCCTTTCCAAATATGAACATTTCCACATATAAAATAAATAAAATATCCAAAAACTTTTACCTCTAAATCATCTATTATGTTATAAACGTCACCAACGAATTCATACCGCAAGCATTACAAATACTTAGTGTCAGATATTTAAATTATTTCCATGCACTTTTTTTTCAACTAAAACGTATACCAAATTCCTACAAACATAAAATTCAGAAAATAACTATCATTTCATTAAAATATAATTAAATTCAAAAACACTACTTAAAATATAAATGAGCACATACATTAAATTAATAAAAATTACCTTACAATCCTAATTACTTTAAACTAAATCATTGCTAATAACAATTTTCCCAATAATACCAAATTCCTTTCCACCTTACATTTAGAACAATGCATAAAAATAATATCCTCAAATAATTAAAAATACTAACTTACCTAATCTTCTTCAGAATCTTGATTACGTGGCGGATACCTTTTCTAATTCATTCATAAAATTATTGAAAGATTTTTTCTGCGAATTTTTCCTCCATACTTCCTCCGCTAAATAAAAAGCAAACTTCTCTTTATCACAATGCCTAAATACCCATTTCGAACTCACTTTAGTTAGGGCCATGGGATCCAAAAATTAACAAACACTGTTTCACACAACACAGAATAAAGCTAAATACAAAATTTCCAGATTTTTTCCCGATTTCCCCCCTTTTCCGATTAAAGAACCGTAATTCGTCCATTAATATCACTTGACATATCCTATGATCTCTCATTTCCCTCATGCAAAATAATGCGTAATCGGAACTGAGTACTGCTCACATTATTACCAAAGTCCCAGGTAGTAACCTTTATCGCCTCCAAAATGTCGCCTCACTACCAGTTACCATATTGTAAAGATCAACCGAGATATCTTTTGGGGAGAGTTATGTGGAGAATAAATAAAGGAAATATGAAATTATAAATTGTGATGTTACAGATCTAAAATAATAATGAATAGCTGTATTTTTTCTCATGAAGCATATTGGATATCAATGTGTCGTGATACCAAATTGAAAATTTACACAATATCATGTAAATTTAGAAGCTTTCACGTGTCTGCCAGACCACAAATGTTCTGTAGCCATTATCTTGTTTTGTCTAAGCATCATTATTGCAAGATACTCTGTATAAGTATTTATTTGAGCCCATTTTCCCTATTTAACAGCTTTGTGGAAATAATGAAAAAATGCGTTCTATGCTGTGGTGGTGTGAAGAATTTTTGGCTGATCTTTAGAATATGGTAACTGGTAGTTTGGTGACATTTTGGAGGCGATAAAGGTTACTACCTGGGACTTTGGTAATAATGTGAGCAGTACTCAGTTCCAATTACGCATTATTTTGTGTGAGGGAAATGAGAGATCATGGGATATGTCATGTGATATTAATGGACGAATTACGGTTCTTTAATCGGAAAAGGGGGGAATTTGGAAAAATATCTGTGGCTGTATATTATTTTGTATTAAGCTTCATTGTGTGTTGTGTCTAATAGGGTTGAATAATTTTGGGATTGTATGGCGCTGTCTAGAGTGAATTCTAGATGTGATAAAGAGAATTTTGCTTTTTATTTAGCGGAGGAAGTGTGGAGGAAAAATTCGCAGAAAAAATCATTCAATAATCTTATTGAATCCATAATAAAAGTGTATCCACCATGTAAGCAAGATTCTGAAGAAGATTAGGTAAGTTAGTATTTTTAATTATTTGAGGATATTATTTTTATGCATTGTTCTAAATGTAAGGTGGAAGTAAAGTAATTTGGTATTATTGGGAAAATTGTTATTAGCAATGATTTAGTTTAAAGTAATTAGGATTGTAAGCTAATTTGTATTAATTTAATGTATGTGCTTATTTATATTTTAAGTAGTGTTTTTGAATTTAATTATATTTTAATTAAATGATAGTTATTTTGTGAATTTTATGTTTGTAGGAATTTGGTATACGTTTTAGTGTAAGTAAGCATGCATGGAAATAATTTAAATATTTGACACTAAGTATTTGTAATCTTTGCGGTATGAATTCGTTGGTGACGTTTATAATATAATAGGTAATTTAGAGGTAAAAGTTTTTGGATATTTTATTTATTTTAGACGTGGAAATGTTCACATTTGGAAAGGGTATATACTTTTTCGTTATTAGGTAATTTCATATATGTTCTTTTTAACGGGTTTAAAGTTCAGAAAATTGTCATGCATTTTCGTGAAATTTTTCTAATTTATGAGAAAAAAGCAGTGTACATGGATATGGTGAAGAGTGTGCGCAGTGCCATTTTTGTGCAATTCTGGGATTTTTTTTTTAAGTAAAAATAAGTCGACGTGTACACGGTTTAGTGATATTTTAATTAAATGATAGTTATTTTGTGAATTTTATGTTTGTAGGAATTTGGTATACATTTTAGTTGAAGTAAACGTGCATGGAAATAATTTAAATATTTGACACTAAGTATTTGTAATGCTTGCGGTATGAATTCATTGGTGACGTTTATAATATAATAGATGATTTAGAGGTAAAAGTTTTTGGATATTTTATTTATTTTATATGTGGAAATGTTCATATTTGGAAAGGGTATATACTTTTTCGCGATCAGGTAATTTCATATATGTTATTTTTACCGGGTTTATACATTCAGAAAATTGTCATGTATTTTCGTGAAATTTTTCTAATTTATGAGAAAAAAGCAGTGTACATGGATATAGTGAAGAGTGTGCGCAATGCCATTTTTGTGTAATTCTGGGATGTTTTTTTAAGTATAAATAAGTCGACGTGTACATGGTTTATGTGTATGTGTTATTTTGAAAAATGCGTAAGGAGTATGGTATTGTGCACTTTTTCCCAATTTTGCAGTGAATATTTGTCATGATTAAGCAGTTTTGTTAGATAAAATTTCTAGCATAAGTGTAATTCGGCTAGTAGATTGTTGGAAGAAGTGTTCAGTAGATAAAAAGAAAAGAAACGTCTTTACTTCGTGAAGACAAAATGGCGGCGGGAAAAAAAAATAGAGGGTTGCTGTAGCAGAGTTGGTCGCCAAATTTTCGGCAAAAAATCGCCAAGTTACCATAATCTAAAAATCAACCGAATTTTTAACTGCCTTGTAGTAGAGAGCTTTTGTAGCCACTTTGGTTATCTCTTTTCTGATTGTCTGTTCATACCTTAATGCTGTTTTTGTATTTTCTTCATTAGTTAACTGGAGCCATTAGAAATTATCATAAAAGGTTCTGCTCTATTTTATTATTGCTAATAATTTTTTTAATTGAAATTTGGGATATAACCATGAAATTTATCATTCTTGAAAAATCTATTAAAAATAGGGTTTGAAATTATATGCCTTTTTAAGCATCATCATTTATATGTGAATTGTACATGAATTATATTTCTGTCTCTTTTTTTTTTTTTTTTTTTTTTTTTTATGTATTCATCAAATATGTGGCTCTTCTGCTAATCTCAGCACTGTAAGTATTATTATTATTTTTATTGTGAAGTTGATTATGTTTCAATGAGCCTCAATTTATGAACTGCATGTTTTTACAAACTATGTTTCTTGAAATATTTATGGCCTTCCAGTCTGTGAAGTTATGATTTTATGAAATGTTTTCAGAGTCCGAATGAATTCTTAAAATCAAAAGTTCATCTTAGCGACAGAAATGTCATTTAAAATTTTCATTTCTGTATAATCATCCTTCTGTTGCAGTTTTAATGTAAATAAAATTAAATCCTAATTTAAGGAATATGATTTTTTGAAACTATTTGATTTTCACGGTCCCTGAGGTAAACCACCAAATTATCTAAATAAAATGTAATCTTAATATTATTTTTTTAGTTTAACCTCTATTTGCCAAATCTGATGAACCACATGATATCATAATTATCATTTTCATTTAAACATTTATATAAAAAAGTGTGCTTTCACTTTTGACTTATTTGCTAAAGATCATGAATATTATAATATCATAGTAGTTTTTTTTTCTCTTTGAATACTGTAAAAAATTGTTGACTTTTTTAATTTACCGAGATGTGAGGAAGATTACCGAGATTAATTTACCGAGATGTGATGTATTGCTTTTCCAGGAAAAAGATACATTATTTCACAATCAAATATGTGTAAATGACCACAAACTAAATTATATGTAAACAAAAGTATATTAAGGTATAGTGTGAAAAGTTATAAGCAAAAAAAAAAAAAAAAAAAAGAGTATTTGATCGGACAGCTGATTTAATGGTTCTGGAATACTATTCCTAACAGTGCTGCGTTTCACCTGCTGTTGGGCAGAGGAACAAACTTCGCATAAGTGGTGCGATATACACCTCAACAATGTGTCAAAATATCATGATTGACTGGAACAACTTTATAAGAGAGGTTTGTTTGCTGGATTTACTTTGACAACATAAAGGATGAATAGGTGGGCCTGGAAGAATCATTGCAGTTGATAATAGTTTTTCGTGAGGGGGAAAAAAAAAAAAAAAAAGCACTGGCAGGGTACTTCCACAACAGTGGATATTTGGCTGGTTCTGCCGTGAATATAGCAAGGGATTTTTTTCTTCAGATTCCAGATTGGAAAGCAAGCACACTCATATCAAAGATTGTAGTCCATCTAGTGGAAGAATCGACTATATTTTCAGATTGTTGGCAAGCCCATGAAACGAGTTTAACCTTGGTGGTAATCTTATTGCTGTTTTGATAGTGGAGGCAGTGAAAATCAATTAGTATAATTTTTTTTCGTTTACAAAAAGCAAAAAATTCTCAGTTTAAGGAAACTTTCATTCCTTATATCAAGTTTTTTTTTGTAGATTATATTTGGGAGAATCTTAATACTATACAGATAAATGCATTTTTTTATTGGTTCATTTTCTACTTTTTTCAGTGAGACATCAAATTTATATTTCTTGCTTGTTGGATTAAAAGAAAAGGTGCAGCATTTAATTATTGCTTATTAAGTAAATTTAAAATATTTATAGTGTAGTAAAAAGAATTATCTGACATTCAACTAACTGGAAAACTCCCCCCCCCTTCCTGGAAAATTAAGCATATGAGAGTTAAGGTTAAAATAACATGCTGAACAAATATTAATTTAGAAATCAATTAACAAAAATCAGCATTATATTTGCAAATTTTCACAGGACTAGTTTCGATGGCTTAACTGAACCACCATCCTCAGCTGCCAAATTGTAAATGAACAAGATAAGATATAGTGAAAAGATAAGATCTTGTTCATTTGCACTTTGGCAGCTGAGGGTGGTGGTTCGATTAAACCATCGAAACTAGTCCTGTGAAAATTGGCACATATAGCTCTGATTTTTGTTATTTGACTTCTAAATTAAATTAGAGTTAGCTGGAGTGTGATTTAACCCCAATAATGGATAAGAGAGATGTTTATAGCACAGTCATAAAACCCTCGCCGTAGTTTTTTGTAAACCTAATCAATTCTTGATAAGCAGTTTAATTTTTGGAAAGACGGATATATGTTAACTGCTGTTTATTTGTTTTTCCCATTTTTGAAATAATGTTTAAAATTTGGGGTCTGGCTTATACAGAACTGCTCAGTATTTTCAAAGTTGTATCGTCTTCAAGAAAAGTGTGGATTGATAGGCACAATATGCAATTTTAATTGAAAATATTGTAAATGCTGCTAGTGTAACATCAAAAATATGTAATTTTATTTGTTTATTAAGTAACTGAATAAAAAGCAATCTCTAAACTTCTGCTAGAATGCCAACTTTCATAGTGATAGGATTTCATAATCCAATAGGATGTTTTGCTTTCATATGTACGAAATACATTGATGAAAGGGCCTACGAAATACATTGGCTTTTGTGTTCGAAATACACTTTCTCTCTAGAAATCTTATGTAATTTTAGATGTAGGCTTTTGATATTTAGGTTGATAAAACTAACAGGATTATATTTTAATAATTTTAGGCCCAAAATTTCTTCCATTCATTTGTCTTTTCTTTCATGACTTGTATTTTTGTATTGTACTATTTATTCTTAGTACTACTACTATTCTTCCTCCTCTTCCTACTAAATTTTCACATATCCAGCATTTGCATTTCTCAAGCTTTCCGGATAGCTGAGTTTTTACTGTAGCCTTTTTAAAATTTTATCTTATCTGCTTTTTCCTGTAGTGTCTCATTGTTTGAAATGTACAATACCAAGTCTGAAATCTGGACATCTAATATCCAGAGCACTATGATATACATTATCACTTATTACCATCTGCTGGTTAGAGAATCATACCAAGGCCATTGACAGTACATTGATTGATGCTGGCCTTGACCATACTTTTGATTCTTGAGTAATTGTAGGAGGGTTAGCATTTTTCTATCTAACCTAAATAATAAGTTAAGCCCTGAGACATTAGTTTAGAGTGGGATTGCTGATACTGGTTTTCTTAGCAGCGAGGAAGGTAGAAAGAATTTGATCCTGATAAACGTAAGCTCAATTAGCATAATAAGTTGCATTCTTTTGTAACTTTCTGATCTGATCCAACTTACTATTTTTTGCAGGCTATTATTAATAGAGCTACTTTACGAAAATTAAAGTTGGAATTTTCAATTATCTGAGAAAGAATTTTTAATTCTGGGACGTATCCATCATTTTGTCCAAAGCGTTATGCATGCTGAAATGCAACCATAAAGTAGCCTTTCAAAAATCTGTGCTAAACTTCATGGAACATTTATTTACAGTGGCAAGACCATTCATAAATTTTTTAAATGTTTTATTGTAAGATCTGCTTTATGGAGCATTGCATGGTCACAGGAGGATGCGTGTAAAGCTATTTAAAAAAAAAAAAAAAAATGCTTGGTATAGCTTATGGTCAAACTATCATATTTCATGATGATAATGATAGCAACAAATTTGAAGGCTTTCGCAAGCAAGAGGCAAAATATACCATTTAATGGAATTGTGAAGAAATCTGGAGAAGGGATAATAAATTAAAATGCTACGACTGAAGTTTACCATTCTGATGACAATGCCCCAATTACCAACTCATGGAGGTAAGAAAGGAAGGAGTGGCCAGCTCGGCACTAAGCGTGAAGCACTGCTCCAAAACTTCGGTCTCCAGATGGGGTGTTTTTTGTTTACATTCAGAAGCTTCCTTGACAGGGCTTCGTTAGTATTTCGACACACGACAGTTCCATACAAATCTAAAAATGGGTCATTTCCGCATAAAAGAAACATTCATTGTGTGATGGATAATAGCAATTTGTATAGTTTAGTAACTTTTATGCAAAAATCACATCTTGGTTATTTTTTGATAACTAACAACTGCGATTTTTGAGTATGAATTTATTTTATAAAATTCTAAGCTGTTGAACTACAAAAATATACATTTTAGCAAAAATGTTATGCTTAAAGAATGAAAAATACCTTACGGTACCTTTCAAATTGTATCCGTCTTTCGATACCCTTGATAGAGTATTTGCTACTTTTACTTTATGTTTCAAACGCCAAAATATTTTAAATAAAATAATTTTTTGTCATCCATATATTATTGTGACATGTATTTTTTAAAAAAATTTAGAGGAGAGGCTTTATAGTTGCTCATTTTAAACTTATTTTATTTTTATATAACTTAAAAATAATTACTTTGGGTTTATATATTTAATTAAAAAATAAAATTACCACCAAATGCTGCTATCCTTGTCAAAATTAATAAATATAGATGCAGATATGCCAATAAGTTAACTTTTCCTTGATTTTTAACCACACATTTGTGTAAAATTGTGTACAGTTTTACACAAATGTATGGAACAGAAGACGGATACATTTCCGAATTTGGCGGAAGTACCATGTGCAGTCAAGATGATGTGACCATGTGAATGTGTCACATCATCAAGACAGCTAATTAAGAATTTGAAAATAGGGTAATCGACGAAGGTGGAAACATTTGTGTATCCTGCCAAAGGAGGTCCGATCATGAATGGTTCTCTTATTGATTCCAGATTCTTAAATGTTTTCTACACGAGTCTTTTATTAGTTATTATTTATTATATTATCAGAGAATTATTCAACTGTCTAAAATCACTAAATGAGCTATTGAGTACTCTGCCAAAATATATTTACTAGAAGATTTGAATTTGATGCTGAATGTATCCTAAAACGTGTTTCTGTCAGAAGTTTGACACTTGATGGCTAAATGTAAATATAAAATTATGCATGTTAAAATATTTGTAATTAGGCACATAGGTTAAGTTTTTATTAAATAGAGTAAGGTATGCAAGGGCCTAAAGGGAAAGATGCCATTGTGGAGGAATTTCAAAGAAAAACTGACCTTTGTGTGGGTATTAAAAATAATGCATCTAATTTTCATTCAAATTATATTTATACATAATTCTTTGTAAAAATTTCGGGTGTATGCTAAATTATTGTAAATTACTTTCTCGAAAAATATAGTGATTGCACAGAAATTAAAGATTTGCACATACTGGTAATGAAAAATATGAAATATGTATGGGTATTTATGCATATGCTTGCAAAAAGCATGTATCTGCCCCTAACAAAATACTTAAATGTTTATTAACTTATTTATAAATGTATTTGAAATGAAGGATATAGTCATTGATAAACACCTGTGAAAGTTACTGTGAAGAAATCTAATTATTAAATGTATCTAAATTTATAATGATTATAAATATTATCTAAATATATAATACCATTAACATTGAATTGTAAACATAAATTGAAATCCTGTTGACAAATACGTTATAAAACTATTTAAGCAAGAATTGTTCATACTGGAAAGCAAACTGTTAAAAGGTATTGTAAAGCAAATTCTATGAAATGCCTACTTAGGAAAGTAATAAAGAAGAGTTTTAGAATATGTATTATTGAAATTAAGGGTAAAAAAATCTGATAAGTATAATTAAAAAAATTATTCCCTTTACATTTTATAAGAACTCAATTACAAGTTTTAAATAATATTTAAACAAAAATCCTTTTTTTTATTCCCTTTCAGAAATATTCAGAGAAAGTTAAGTAAACATTTATCGATTTAAAAGATGCCTCATAAGCTAAAGAATCGTGTCTTAGTTAAGAAAGTGTTTTAGGAAGAAGCTGTATAAATAGAAAAAAAATAATGCATAATTTTAATATTAATAATATAACAAACTTTAATCTTAATTTTTGTAATCTTTAACTGAATAAAATTGAATTACCTTAAAATTTTTCCCTTAAGCAATTAACGAAAACTTGTAATAATATTTCATTCAAATTAAACCGTTCTGTGCAAACTGTTCTGTGAAAAGTATAGCATTTAATTCCATTCAGAATAAAATGTTGTTTAAAAATGTATTCTTTTCGTATAGTTAGGACTCTGAAATATTGTAGAAAAAGAAAATACAGTCAAAAGTCTTTAATCCAGACTCGTCGGGACTTCGGCGATTCCAGATTATCGATTTTTCCGGATTATAGATCATCAGTTTAAATCTGGTAAGATGGCATGCAGAAATTATAAAATTAAAAATATGAAACTGTAATTTTTAAAATAATGAGCAATTATGATCTAAAGGGTATCAAAATTTACAAAAAAAGAAGCTTAATATTTATTTGTTTACTTTATTAAACATTTCTTTCAACGCGCGCATGCGTACCTTACGCATAGCTGAAATTAGAAAATTGCAACCAGAAAACTATTTGATTTGTATTCGTGATATTTATAATGATGAGGAATTTGATTTAAAACATATCAAAGACGGAGTACATCGAGATTAAATACTACATTTAGTAAGGAATTATAAGCCGAATAAAATAAAAACATCTGCCCTGAAGATAACGATAGTGCTGACAGATCAACTTCCAGTTCATTGCGCGCCGCAACGTCAACCCCCTCCCCCCCGCACAGAGCAGCGTGAAATTGATAAACAGATTTCAGAACGGTTAGATAAACAAAGGATATACCTTTATCCATTTTTTGTAGCAATTCGTTTTTTGTTTGATGGACATCTAAACATACTTTCGTTTTCTAGATCCTTTGGGAGCTCCAGCATCGGAAATTCTATTTGACATAATCGAAAAGTTCAAGCTTACTTTTATAAAATTGCTCTTACAGTCTGGAAAAAAATAATAAGCCGGATCCAATTCGAAGATTAAGGAACAACGCAATCATCAACATTAACTGAAATAGATAATTAGATAATTTTAGCGTATACCGTCCGTTATACATTAAATGTGCACGTGAAAACGTATTCTGCGCTTGTGCAGACGCATATGCGCAGTCGTAAATGTCTTACGGGCACCCGTAATACGCCTATGAGCATGCGTCAACGCGGCGCATGCGCAGAAAGATTTTAGCTTTGAGGTCCGAATTATAGATCATTCCGGATTATGGGTGTCCAAATTAACGACTTTTGACTGTATATGCATTTATATATGTATATTTATAACATAATTACAAAATATTTATATCCGATTGTGCCCAAACCCATTGAAGTTTGGTAAATGACCCAATGTTTTGGTCATCACAAAGGGATTGCCAGTGCTTCAAAGCAATGTATGGGGGAGACTAGTTAGGGCCACTCCATCTTACTTCCTACCTCCATGTACCAACCAGCAGGCAGTGAAACCTGTATCATTATTTTAAATCCAGTAATGAAGAAAATGATGAGGTTGTTGAGAATGAAAAGATTTCGACTGTTAAGTGGAATTCTCGACATGGCAGTAATAGGACTTGAAAAATGGAACTTTGTAACTGAAAAAGTATAAAATTAAAGAGAATGTATTAGCATAATAAATAAATAAACAGCTTAAACGACTTTCTTTTGAAAAAGTGTTTAATATATATGTATATATATGTATTATATAATATATATATATTGAGCGTAGTTTTTTTTTTTTTTTTTTTTTTTGGTAAATTTTGATTCCTTTAAGTTCATAGATGCTTCATTATTTCATAAACTGCTATATTATATTTTTAACTTCATAATTTCTAAATGTCATCTTACTAGATTTAAACTGATGATCTAAAATACAGAAATTTCTGGGATCGAAGTCCTGATTTCAAAGTCTTTATCAAAGTGTTGACAATTCTGGATTTGGAACATTGTACTTACTGTTGTGCATCTTTAGAATTAATGTCTGTTTGTTAAACATGCAGATTGACCTACACTACATAATGTGGATGCTAAAAAATATACTTCTATAGCAAATTTAAGTAATTGTTTTTGATGTTTGAGGTAAAAAAATATATTGCAATCTATATGTGTGAAAATTTAATACTAGGTATAATGTTAGTTTCATTATTTTAATATTATTTGAATAAAAAGCATGGCATTACAAATTTTTGTTTTCAGTAAAAATGTCAAAAAGTGCCTTCTGTTTTGCAACAGAAGTGTGTTTTTATAAACACAAGTCATATATGAGTCATGTATTGTTGTTCAATCTGCATAATGTACGTTCATTTATTTAAAAGCTTGCTAAAATATATGTACACTTTCATGTTATTATTTTTATATTATTTTAAGCAATAAGAAATTAGAAGTATGTAAATACTGAATTACATACAAGCTTAATTTGACTTGGCCAAAGTACAAGCGATATGGATAATTGGAGTTTTGTTATAGTACTTTTAAGTGGTGTTTTATTGTGATGCTTATAAAAAATGAATGAACTTATTTAAAAAATGTAGTAATTTTAACTTTATTTTATCTTGCTTTCTTTTATTTAAATAGGTAAAGAGAAATATAAATGATAAATTACAGTAATTTATGTGTATTCATGTGTTTGATTAATAATGTTTCATTTAATATGGCATTTTGCAGAAACTAATTAATCATATTAATTAGGGGATTGGGTACGTATGCAAAATGTTGTTGAGAATTTTCTAGTGACAAAAAATGGTGGAAATCTCACCAAAACTGTACAAATGTACAATTGTAAAATTTTTTTCGCTTCACATTACACAGAAAAATACAATTTCTCATATAATTGCGCTGAAATCATCTATTTATGTACAAATTTGTAACGCTATAAAAACTTAAATAACTTGAGCTCCGTCTTTGAGATTATCTGACTAATCCTTCATTAAAACTATCACCAATCGTTCTGGTAGTCAAACAACCTAGTAGAATATAAAATAACAATAAAGCTCTTGTCATCTTTATGAACTCGATGCCATATAAATGCACTAAGTGGTGTCATGCTAATTCACAATGCCTTTAATTACTCTTTTTTTTTCACAAACTCCACAGTTTTTTAATGTTTTGTGTATCCATATCAGTATAATCAGTCCTGTCGCTTAAAAAATATTCCACTGCTTGCATTTCCGTAGAATGTAGGCCCCAAATTTTAACCTTTATTTTCAAAATGTTAAAGAAATATTAATTAACTTATAACTTCCTTGCAAGACTTAAGTTGGTTGACTGAAGGTCAGGTTTACATAAAAACAAAGTGAAGTTCTTACAAGTGTGTTATCATGTCATGCTTATTCGCTGTGGTGGTAAATTGCATTGTTTGATGATATTGTCAAGAAAACTTGTAGTCAATGGAGTTTCACCTAAATACCAGGGATTGCTGTATATCATTACTGCATATCCTGAAAGTAATTTACATGGACATTTTATTTGTCTTTATTTTGGTATCATAAGGTCTGTCACTTCCAAAATAAAATATGTTTGTCTTTCTTAATACTTTATCAATATTTATAACGAGCAGTCCTCAGAAATTTTGTCGAAAACTTCTGTTCATATTATAGTTGAATAGACAAAAAAGTTTATTTTCAGTATCTGGCAAATTAAAATACTTTTTTTGAAATTTATTATGTATGAAAGTGATGCAATTATCACATATAAAATATGAAAGTGTAACTTAAAACTCATAATTATGAGTCTTTGGAATTTTTCATTCATAGTTTTAGTTTTAAATAAATGTGCTAATTTTTGGCAGATTTTATTAGTATGTAATTATTTGAAGCTGTAAATTTTTAGGTATTTCTATCATAATGATTTTGTGCACATAATTTCGTTTGTTAGTCTAATTCTCATTTATTGATTTTCAGCACTTTTGGGGACCTGGTAAGAATGTGCTTTCTATGTAATTATTTGGTAATTGTATGAAAATTTTTATTGCATCCTATAAAATTGTGAATGTATGTTTTGTTTGTTTATATCGTATAAATATGATACAGTGAATTCTCTTTATCTAAACTTCATCAGGATTAATTAACACTTTTTCTAAATAATTCATTTAATTATTTTCGACAATTTAAAAAATATTAAAAAAAACTGTGTATTGTAATAAATCTTCATATCTATAGATACTTATGTATTAATGCAACAACCTTGCACAATGATGATTTTTTACAGAAGAAACAAGAATAATGATTTGCACCCCAACCCTCCGAAAAGTCGCGAGCCATTGGTGACTAATATTTCGCCAACCTAAAACAAAACACAGGAGACATTTTCAAAAATGGCAGCACACTAAGAATTGCATAAAACAGCGACCAATTATGAAATTAAAAATGTTAGGAGCATTCATAAAAAACCCTTACCATTTTTTCTTCTCTTTTGTCCATGTACACAGTGATCTGTGTTGGCTTTAAAAAATCAGAGAATTGCAGAACTTGACACTGCATGCAGTTTGGCACTGTGTACACTGTTTTCTCTCCATATACACAGCAAACTGTTTTTGCTTAAAAAATATCAGAGAACTGCACAGTTTGTTGCATTGGCACACAAATTTGGTTGTTTACCTAGTACAACTTCACAGAATGCAAATTTTTGTATTCACTGTGGTTGGACAAATTGTCATATTTCTGAGGGGATCTAATGCTTTCTTCCTCAGCTAGCAAACTCCACAGTCCCACTGAAATTCCTTATCAAAAAAGTGCAAAACCCATCACACACTAATCAGAACAAGCAAGGGGGAAAAAAAAATGACTGTCAGATTTGATAAGCTAAAATCTGCACTTGTACTGTTCACTAACCTGGGTTACCCAATGAATAAATACTTTCTCGTAACGTTAATGTGGGTTGCTTGTCTTTATGACATAGTGCTTTGCTTGGTGAATTCTTTTCAGGGCTAATTGGATAATCAAAAATAACCAAACACATTTATTGTACACATATTTGCATTTTGATTATGTATTTTTTCTGCAAGACCAATCAATAAATTGAAGTGAGTATTTGTTTCTTTTGTTGTGTTGGAAACTTTGTGGGGATCCTTTAAGAATAGATTCAAGGTAGGTGTTCCCTTTAGTGATGTTTTAGCAAAATACTGTATTCCTTCTTACCACAGTCAAATCCCACAAGGACATATTTTAAAATTTGGTTTAAGACAAAAAATACTCATTTTATTTATGTAAACCATTAGAACTTGGAAAACAACTGAGAAAAAATGTAAGGAAATGTTTTCTTTGTTTATAAACTTGAAGAAGTGGTAATAACAGGGTTGTCAGAGTTTTACGCATTCTAAAAATTTGACACCTTTTTCCAAGGTGGTTCTGCTAATACTTAGGTGCTTATCTGTCTAATTAGAAATTGGTAGTAGCTTTAGTTCTGTTTCACCTATAGATTTCAGCATTCAATATGTTTTGGATTGTTTGATTTTATAAAATATGGGAATGACTACTATTTTTTTAACCCCTTAACTGCTGTGGAAAACTCCCCAGTGACACTGTTTTTTTTTATGCAGGCATGCGTAGTTATGCGATGTATTAGGAGAAAAATAAGTGCAGGTTTTGCTGTCTAAAACCTGTTTACTTTGACAACATAAAGAAAAACGAAAATATAAAATTTAATGTTTACAGTAAAAGTATAATAAAAAAGCTGTAAGTATAATAAAAATGATGTTTATATAATAAAAGTGATCTCCAAAAATGGAGTTTCAATCAATTTATTTTTAGACAAGTAAAGTTTAATACCAAATTTCAGTGTTATACCTTGTAAAATTAATAAACCTAAATGGACAGTGTGGAGGTGGCATAGGCAAGTTTTTCATGTCAAGTCATATCCGTCGAGCATCTTTTGGAGAATAGTCGCAATCCTCTTCATCTGACGTAATATCATATTCTGAGGTGTCCGATCCTGAGGATGACAGAAAGTAATCATCTATTTCACCGTCATACATATTCGTAAAAGAAGCACCTATAAACAGTTAACAAAAACGGAAGACGTGCCATGAAAAAATACCTTTTATTTAAACAGAAACACGGCCCCCCTCTCCAGGTCTTCCCCCCTTCTCTGAAATAGTATCCTCCTTTGCATATGTAACTTCTTGTGTAGTTTGTTGAATTTAATTACTGCTGTACTTTAAAATAAGACTCAACTAATGAGTATATCTCAAGAATTCAAAACTTTTATTATTACAATTTTAAACAGTTCACATGACATTCAGCTAGCACAGTAACACGTGCATCACAACAACGGAATCGCATAGCACGAGTGCCATTAAAGTTAAAGTTATTTTAAATATACATCACATCCCTTCCTCCAGTTTATAAACACTAATAAAAATAACAAATAATATCAATACAAGTATATTCACAATATGACATACAATAAAAAAAAGTTACATAAAAATGATACATGCAATATGTTGCATTATTTTATTCCATGACAAAGTCTCTATATCTTGAAGGTTGTCTAATCAACCGTCCACTTCTTGTTATTGTATTATTGGATAGATTATTCTGTTGATTTCCTATTGTAACAGGCACAGAAACATTTTCAGGGCTTCCATTTGAATTTTCCTCTTTATCTAATACTATATCATCATAATCATTATTAACTTTGTAAGGTGATTTTGAAAAATTATATGGCGTCTGTTTCGTCTGTTTCTTCGTAATATTTCCCCAATTGAATTTCTTACAATATAGGATCTAGGAGCTTTATGTTTTGAAATTATTTCACCTTTATCCCATTGCCCAGTTCTAAAGTTGAACAAGGTTATACTATCTCCAGGTTTTAACTCAGGCAGTTTCTGTGCGGTTCTATCATAATAATATTTTTGCCTAGCTTGAAGTGCACGAAATTTAGAATAAGGTTTGTTTATCTTAGTATTTAACAATTTATTACTGATAGGTAATTTTGTCCTTAATCTTCTATTAAGTAACAGTTGTGCAGGAGACAAATTTATTCCACTAATTGGGGTATTTCGATATTCCATTCAAGCCTACACTTATATCTTGCACTTTTTCTCATGATATTTTTCACTATTCCTACAGCTTTTTTCAGCCAACCCATTACTTTGAGGATATCTCTGGGGCTACTAAATTTAAGTTCGAAATCCCAATCTTCAGCAAATTTCTTAAATAAGTAGCTATTACAGGGATTATTGTCGCAAACGACTTCATTTGCAATACCATACCTGGCAAAGATGCATTTTAACTTTATCATAATTTCATTTGCTGTCTTATCTTTTATGTTAGAAACCTCAATCCATTTAGAGTAATAATCGATAACTACTAAGTAATTTTGATTACCAAATTGCAAGATATCAAGGGCAATTTTTTCGAATGGTTTAGTTGGAATTTCATGTTGCATTAGAGGTTCTTTTTGATTTCTATTTCTGAATTTTTCACATATTTCACATTTGGAAACAAGCTGCTCAATGTCATTTGTCATACCTGGCCAGTAAAAATTTCATGGGCTCTACTTTTACATTTCTCAATTCCAAAGTGCGCTTCATGAATTAATTTCAACATATCTTTTCTCAAACCATAAGGTACAACTAATTTTTCATTAATAAATAACAAGTCGTCATTAATATAAAGATCATTTTTAACTTTAAAGTATGTTTTTACACTACTATCTACTTTTTTGTAACATTTAGGCCAACCCTCTTTAATATATTTCATAACTATTTGCAAATCTGGATCTGATTCAGTTTCTTTCCTAAATTGCACCACTCTTCTTTCACTCATAGGCAAATATTTTGAAATAATGTGAACAACATTTAGCATTTCAGGATCATCACTAATAGTTTCCTTCACAGGATATGCACGTGACAAAGTGTCAGCAAAAAGCATTTGATTACCTGGAACATAATTTATCTCAAAATCATATTTTAGTAGTTTTAAGATCATCCTTTGCATTCTAGACGAGATTTTATGCAATGGTTTCTTAACAATTGCCATTAACGGTTTATGATCACTTTGTACTGTGACTTTCCGTCCATAAACAAAATTGTGGTACTTTTCAAAAGAAAATACTATGGCCAATAGCTCTTTTTTATCATACTAATTATATCATCTGGAGAAGGAATTTGATAGTGTTCCCTTTTAATTACTTTATTTAGATCTCTAGGATCCAAGCATAATCTCAGACTCCCATTAGGTTTTTCAACTATAACCAAACTTTGAACCCAATCCGTTGGTTTATTTACTTTCGATACTATCCCTTCTCTTTCAAGTTTATCTAAAGTATCTTTTAATTTAGGCTATAAAGCCTGAGGCACATGTCTTGGAGGGTGTATTACTGGTATTGCATCATCTTTAAGGGTTATACGATATGGTTCATCAAGAAATTGCCCTGTACCTGTAAATACATCTTTATACTGAGCAATTAAATCATTTTTATTAATGATATTGCACTTTAAGGAATCAATCCTTTCAATTAGCTTTAATGCAGAACAAGCTGTTAACCCTAATATAGGCTTAGATCTTACATCAAGAACATAAAACTGTAAAGGTACATTCTTAAGCCTTTCAGTTGAACAATTAATTATAAGAGTACCTTCTGGTTTTAACTTAAAATTACCATATGAGGTTAAGAACAAATCAGTTTCATTAAGTTTAGGCTTAAGTTTAACATTATTTAAAACATACAAAGGCGAAATATTTACTTCTGCACCAGTATCTAACTTAAAATCAACCTTGAAAGACTTATTATTTACATACATTGTAATACTTTTCACCCATGTTTCACTTACCTTGTGAATATCCTTATTTACTTCATCATCAATAGAATTTGTTAGTTCTTTGATTGATTTTGCACTTATTTTAAATTCACTATGCCCGTTTACTGGTGGATTCTATCATTACAGAGTCAACAAATACACTATGTTCATTATA